AAGATTCCTTATAAGTTTGTCTACCTTTATCAATAAAAAAATCTCTACCGGAATGTCAAATTAAATTTTTATGAGCGTTTGAAATTCAAATTTTTACAACATTGGATTTTCACTCGATTTCTCATGTAGCGATTTCCTTATTTTGTTGTAATTCAAAAACGAATAACGGTAGATACATGAAAATTTCACTGAATGTTTATATTAGCATTTCCTATACACCATACAATTTTGAAAATATTTTGACTCTTTTTGAGCTGTTTATGGACATTTACAGCTTTCAATTTTTTTTAGTTTTTTTTTCTATAAATATCAATAAAGTTTTATCTGTTGGGCCAAAAAGTGTAAAAATTTAATACAAGGCTCCTGATATATTGGTACAATATGAGTTGAAAAATATTAAAAATACATAGGCACGATTTTTTTTTATAAGCATTTAAAATTGGAATTTTGACAAAATTTATCAAAATCTCAAAAATTATCAATCGTTGGAATTAAAAAATTATAAAATGTTCAGTTTTTATAACTAAGAGTTGAAAATTTAAAACAAAGATTCTCTTAAATAATTCATACTGTAACCAAAAAATCTAAAAATATATAAACACACTTATTTTTTACAGACATTTTAATTTCAAATTTAGACAAAATTTCATATTTAAAACAAGAATTACGATTTTAGTTATTTTGTTGTGATTGAATAATACTATTCGTGGGTACTTGAAACTTCTAAAGTGTACTATTATATATCTATGATAGTATCACGGTTTTTGTTGATGTATAACGCGTTATAAGTATCTAATGGATATTGTGATATGATTAATTTGGAATTTATTATAGGTACCTATTATAGGTCAATTTTTGTTTAATACCATAGATATGTATATAATATGCCTTATACATAGACTGACATACCATCACCGCTCAGAATCGTTTTTCTTATACAATGATATTATATCATTGAATTCAAATTTAATACCATCCATTATACAGTGACCCACTTGTAACCTACTGTACAGCAGAGCGACACCCACTTGCCCACCTTTTTAAGGACTGAACGTGAACGAGTTCATTTTTTTAGTGAACGTTCCGAACACTGATTGAAGTATATGGATTATATAAGCATTATATAACACTTTACATGATACCTATAATAAACTTTATAATATTATCATGACACTATAATCAAGTATCGGTATTAAGATTTGGTTGCACTGGACGCTGTATTTTCATCTCGCGGAAAGATACGCTATTATAAATTAATATTAATTTATTGAAAACATGGATAACTACAACCAACATCACAAATTGAAACGCCGCCAATGCGTCCAGAATTTTGCTTCTTTATAACACTATAGTCTATACTATATGATAGATGATAAATTATATATATAGTGAAATGTACTTATTTGCCCCTAATTAGAATCGTTGACCACCAGTGATGAAACGTTATGTACTATCCATTTATTAATTATGAGGTACGAGGTACCTAACTATTGTCTTAAATCAGGGCAGTTTTAAATCATATTACCAACAATGTACTATATATGTACATAATCAGTGACGTGGGAAGACTCGTTAGCGCCCCTGCAAACTTAAAAAAATAAGCGGCATTTTACACATTAAAAAATGACGAGATATTATTTTTAACCAAACCTTTATTATTTGTATTAACTTTTTTAGGGATAAAATATATACAAAATTATATAAATTGGTAAGTACCAATTATTAATTTACAATTTTAATTTCAAACTTAAAAACACCACTTTTAGCACAATTTTTCGATATTATGAAAAAAAAGTCCCTTGTAAAAAACTCATACGGAAAAAAAATCCCCTCGTAAATTAATTTTAAAAAAAAAATAAAAAAATATCCTATAATAATAGTATTTAAAAAATATAAATATGTATTTAATCAGATATGCGGTTTACCCAACGTAAATTAATTAAAAATTAAAAAAAAATATAGCTTATAATAATAGTATTTAAAAATTACATATAAAAATGTATTTATTATTTTATTCAGATATAAAAAAAAAGACTAAGGGGGATTAATTCACAAAACCCCTCCCTTAAATACGCTGTTCTAGGTGACTTTGACACCGGGGTTTTTTTTCCGTTTACCCAATTTTTCACCCCTGGCACGTAGGCACACTTCGCCACGCCTCTGTACATAATGTAAATTTATTTTATATGATACATATTATAGTTGATATATATTAAACCCATAAATTCATAAATTCATTATTTGCTTACTACAGTTACATACTTCAAGCAATATATGCAATTTATCTAAGAAACACGTACAGACTAGGTGAAACATTCTCAACGAATATGTTCGACAACAATGTTCGTCCTAGTGTGGACCCGGCTTAATAGATGTACGCATACGATCATAATCATTTTTGGACACTTTAAAGATCCTTATTTTTACAATAAATTCAATCAACAATTTATTGATATTTTGTACAATATATTTGTTTATTTATAAGCATTAAACATTTTGAACTATGTTATCAAACAACATAAATTATAGTTTACTATAAATCATCTTAACTGCATAAATTTATAAATAATTACATTTTATTAATTTAAACTGGAATTAAATATAAGCTCTTCCAAATAGGAGTATTTTTAAAATAATTAATATTATATTTTCTAGTTAGTCTAATGTCAACATTTAATAACTATTGTAGGTATTTAACTGAAAGATCAAGACTTTAATAAACTATATATAAAGGTAAAAATTCATAGGCGTAACTAGGGGGGCTTGGCTAGCACTCCTGTCATAATTACTATAGTCCTATCAACAGTAGTTAATTTTTAAATTTAAATTTGATATAGGTATCGTTTAATTTGTTTTATTAATATCTTTGACCAACTTCTCGTATATTATTGTATGTAATGATCCTGTGTAAAATCATATGTAATTTATTGGAAAAAACATGCTTTTAATCCTGTGATTGACAGTATTGTAGTGAACATGAAACACAGATTTTCACCAGAAAGTCTTAACTGGCCATATCAATTGATAACTTCATTAATCTTGACTATAAACAAAGGGACATTTTTTAAAAAACCATTATAAGGTAAATAAATTATTAAATCATGTTATACATTTGTTAAAATTATAATTACACAGATTTGGTTTTCTTTTGTTTTCATGCTTATTAAATATTAATGAACTGATTTAAGATCAGAAATGTTGGTGGCAAAAAATTGTTATGGGAGTCTAACAGAAAAGAATCATCAGGAGCATTTAAAGCGGCTAAAGTGTGTAATTCAAAAAGCGGTGTTTCCAAATTGATATAAAATACTACATTTAGCATTTTCCATTCCAACAAGTTCAACATCTTGTTTTCTTAACACATACATCAGGTCAACTATGTTGCCAAATCGTTTTTCTAAGTTGTCAATAATATAGCTATTGAAAGAGATTTGTCTAATGTCTTAAATAAAGAAGACATTTTAAATAAATTGTCTAATACTGAGCGGATGCTTAAACTATAATGACTAGTGTATTTATTATAATGTTACCTTTAAAAATCCTTTATATTTAAAGAAAATTAAATTTGAATTTGTATCTAAAATAATTAATCATTTTAATCGTTTAATTAATTATCTCAGTAACACTTTTTTATAATTTGTTTTATACACACAACAAATATGTTAAACACACTATAAAAATTAAACAATATTATAATTTTAACAATTTATTTAACATGAGTGTGTGTGGGGGGGGGGGTGAGCACCCCACTTTTTTTTTGTTTGGAAAATTGGAGCCCCCCTCCCCAACTTCAAGGTCTAGTTACGCCTATGAATACAATTTATTTGTAAACTGCGCATAAAAATAAGTACTTACATTTTAACAAAATTTTAAACATTCTGAGTCTAACCATCAACAAAAGATTTATTCTATTTAAAATGTAAAGGCCATTTATTCCATTTTATTAAAATTAAGTTATTTTTTTTCATAAACAATAATAAAAATATTTTTTTTCATAAACAATAATAAAGATATTTTTTTTTTCAATAGTGCATTAACATGTAAATTAATTAGTATTATATTATAATATGACAATCTATTAATTTTACCTATGATTCTCAAAAGCACTAAGGAATATTATCAGTCAGCATTTTGAAACGTTTTTCACATTATACCCTACTAGTTTATTGTTTATGTATTAATACATGAATTGGCACTGCATCACCTTAGCTGCAGTTAAAATAACTGTAACATAGGCCCCTTGTCCCATCACAACTTGAACTTGAACAAATAAAAATAATTTAAGAGCTACTATGTATATTACAAAGATTTATTATGCATCACAAGCCTTGAACATAAACAACTTAAGTTTAATGTCATTAAAAAAAATATTAATTATTCAGTACAGTGTATATTAAGAGAAATGCTAAAAGTATAAAGTAAATAATAAATATTCAATAACAAATAAATAAGAATATACAAATATTATACATATTATATACGTATACCTATTCATAATATAATATTATGTAATTGGAATTATTAAGAACCTTTTTTTTTTAAATTAAAGGAAAAAGACGGTTAACTTGTCAACTAGTTAGTAACTAGTGGGTATTATAGTTTTCTAATTAATATATTTTAATTTGATAAAGTTTTCAAAGAAAATTGTGTATTTTATGACACAACATTAACACAAAGTAAAAATAAATCAATTTCAGAAATATAATTGATAACTGATAAGTCTACCAAGTATTTTTTTTACTTAACCCTGAGACACATTTAAGGTTCAGGTTCCTCAAATTTGATGATTTACAATTTAATCTATCTATGTATTTTAAATTGAACTAATTATACAAATTATATGATTATTTTCAATATGTCAACTATCATGAAAATAACGACAAATTTTATAAATACTTATATAATTAATATATTTTTTTAATAAATAAAATAGTTCATTAGATTATTAATAGTTTATTAGATTAAATTATATATTATGATACAATATTTGTATTTTTAAGCTAATTTGAATAAACTCTAAGTGTTGCAGTAAAATAAGAATTGCACATCGGACATTTTTTTGGATTTATAGTTACTGAACATAGTAAGCATAACACTTGGTGTCCACACGGTATAAGAGCATTCTGTCTTTCACATACCAAACATACAACGCACATGTTCTCATCGGCAGCTTGTGGCAAAACATCTGGAACAGGAGCATATGGTATATTTTGTCTTTCGTCTGCCAACCTTCTCTCCTCAATTGCCACTATCATATTTTGCACAGAATCTAAATCCTCAGGCAAAATGAAATCCTCTTCTCTCCCTATGTAAAATATATATGTCAGTAAATATTTAATGTACCTAATTTTTCACATACTCATAACTCACTTAATTTAAATACACAAATAACACAAATTAAAAAATCTTAAAAAAACCAACGAGAGAACACAGATAATGCTGTTATCTAAAAGTTGGATAATAGGTAAATTCACTCTAATATCAAAACTGGCAATACCCTATTGAATCTAGCAAACGAAAATTTACTATGTCGTACGTGTGTAAGTCGGAGAAAACACATGCAGGTGAGACGTCCTCATAACGAGAAATTAAATATTATAATATAACTAATACATTTATGTAGAATACATTATTTTCAAATATTTAACCCAATCTCTGCATAATATAATGTTCATAGCTTAAATAATAATAATAATAATAAAATCATTTTTTACATTCGGGTCCAATGTTTTCTCGCTCTCTAGGTTCGATTAAAATGTCAGGTTCTGCCACTATTCCAAAATTAACGGGATTACCTAGTGGCTCAGCAATAATTTCTGGTACTTTATAAACAGTTAATTTATAATAAGTTATTAATTAGTTCAAATAAATAATGAAACAATATTTTTATAGGTAAGCACATACTTATAGGTAGATTATCATTTCCAGTCCAGTTAAGTTCTCTTGTAAGATACCCATTTGTTGAATGAGAGCATTGCAATAAAAATTCACTTATTGTGATTGTACCAGCTCTTAATTTTAAACTAGAATTCTTAATTCTCAATGAATTTAAAATGTACTTCATTTTTACTGACCTTGTCACTTGATTACCACAAGCAAGCTGGTTAATAACAATATGGTACTTCATACTAGTTTTGTGTAAGTGTTCTAAAATAAAATTAATCAAAATATTAACTATACTAACATTACATTTGAATGAATATGATATCTATAATCTATAATATTTTCTTTGTTATTTTTAGTTAGGCATTAAAGTTCATATGTTGTTGCATTTACACATTTTTTTCTGATTACTTTTTTCTATAATAAATTAGTATTTTAAGTTTTTTTCATTTTATAATTTTAAATATAAATATATAAAGATTTATTAGTTTTAACTGATGTCTAAAATAATAATAATAATAATTGTTCTAGGACTGTGGCCTATAATTAATTATAAATTATCAATCAATATTACCTATGTATTTATTGTTTAAATTGAATTAAAATGTTTCATTTATTGGTTGTGTATAAGGTACATATACTTATTATTGAATAATCTTACCCAATACTATCCACAAGTTGGGATGATTTACTTGAAAAGTTTGTTTCAAGTTGCTGTGAAAAGATTCAATATTATTATTTGTTCGTCTATATTGACCAAAAACTGACAAATTTTCCAACACATTCTCACGAAGCCAAAAACTAAAGAATTATTAAATTAGTAAAAAGAAATTATCATTGGTAAAATATATTAAAAATGAAGTACCTAGAAAAATATGTGAAAAAACGAGGCAATAATGCTCCGTTATTTCTAGCATATATTTTTATCTGCTCAAAACCTTCTCGGATTTGTTCCTTAGGGAGCAATGGTAATACTGATGTCATTCTAAGACACATCTTTGCGTTAGCATTTTGTTTTACATATCGACTATATCCAAGTGTGTTAATTTTTTTCTGTAATGACTGTAAGGAAATTAATTATATATATATTATTATACACAAATGGATAAAAACCTAATTTAAAATATATAAAAAAAAAAAAAAATAGAATTACCTGAACAAAATGAAAAAAGCATCCAGTTATTTGTGCTTGTGGATAAGTATTTCTCAGTGCATTTTGAAGCCCAATTTCATAATCGGTCATTATATTGTTTGGTCTGATATTAGGAAAGGCTGTTTAAAATCTATTTAAAACCTTGTTATACGCAACTTCAGTTTTGCTTTCCATTAATACATAGCATACTGGTATAGACTTAAAAATTAAAATTATAATGACTAATTAGGTACCTGTGATAAAAATTAAAAAATTCAAGAAATAAAAATATTTTCTTACATGGTTTTGTAGTATTAAATGCATCACAAATAGTTGTTTGCACCGAGGAACTGCAGGAACTACCTTAAAGGTGCCATCAGCATGAAGCTCATTAGCACCCTGATGAACTACAGAATCAATAAGTGATCTGCATGCAAATATAATGCTATAGGACCCGTCATTATCAACTACCCATTCTTGATAGAAGCGATCATTATTGCATTGGAACCTATAAATAAGTAACACAGTATTTCATTAACTAATGAAATAATCAATATTCAATATTCTTTATGTAAGAACTATATTTGAATGCCTATTATAAATTGTGAAGTACCTAAATATAAGCACAAATCATAGGAGTGCGCACGGGTAGTGCTGATTGGGCTTTAGCCTTACCTGAGATTTTTTATACGTGGGTGGGTTGGTACCTTATGAAGACATGACTAAAAGTAGGTACCTATAGCCCTTTTAGTTTTTAAACGTGTTTACCCGAGAGACGGGCGATTTATTTAAAATTGAACACTTATTATTTTAAAAAGTGTAATAGTTTTTGAAATTATTTTTTTGCATAGTTTCGAGTCGTTTGCAAAACAACTTTGTTATTAAAAAAATATCCTTCTAATTTTTTAATTTTTCTTTTTTTGACACAACAGTTTTAATTTCATATTCCAAAGTAGAATATTTTTCTAAGTATTTCGATGGTACAAAAAAATTGAATTCAGTGTGAGTAGTCTATGCGTTATAACTTATAAGTATTTAAAGTTTAGATGAGCGGAGTTGAGTGGTATGGGGTTACCCTCAGAAATGTATGTCCACTACTCCGCTCATCTACATTTTAATATTTATATCTCATAAACTAATAGCCCTAAAGTTGATTTACCATAAATAATTTATAATAATAAATAAATACCTATTAATGTTAATTGACAATTTTTGATATTATGTATTATTATATTTTGAACGTTTTTGAATAAATTGTTTTATTAGATTATATTTGGTTAAAATTTAAATCAATATTGATGAATTTTGAATGTGTGAAATAATGAAAACTGATTGTTTACATTTTCCAGTAACCAACAAAAGGGTCACATAAAAGTTTGTAGTGAAAATGTCTATAATTTTTTTCTTGTGTGACCATGACATGGGGGTGGATGATCAGATTGAATTTAGCCATACCTGACTCAGAGGTCTGTGCACACCTATGGCACAAATGTATTATTCGGGTACCTGCTTATATATAGTAATTTTATTATATAATGTAATAAAATTACTATATACCTAATATTATAATGTATTTAAATTGATTGTTACCTGTTCTCATTTAAGTCTAAATACTCTCCTAGTTCTCTTAAAGTCGTTGGTAATGGTGGAACTGTCCGCCTACGAGCTTGTCTCATCGAGGATTCAGCTGTGGGCCAGGCATACTCAACAGCAGCATTAGGAGAGCTATATGATTAATAACATATTATAATATGAGGTTTAGTCAATTAATTAGGTTAAAAAAAATTTGAAAGAAACATTGTACCTACAGGATACAATACCTATACCTAATCAGTGGCGGCGGGATATAGGATTATTTGAAGCAATTGCTTCATGTCTCAAATGGGTGGGTGGGTGTATAAATATATATATTAACGTAAGACCTAAACACAAATATCATGGCAAATATTATAATTAATAATTATTAATGGCCCCTACTGCTAATTTGATTCAATGGAGGGTGAGGTGGTAAAATTTTTTAAAATTTACAATATGCTTCAAAGTTTCCACGATTTCGCGCCGCCACTGTACCTAATGCTTACACAGTTACACTTTAGTGACTATAGTATTATTATATATTTATATAGTATTATTTGCCACCTTTGTGAAATATTTAAAAAATATTGATTTATATAGTAAGAAAATTAAATCATTTTAAACTTACCTAAGAGCTTCCTCGTCATATATCAAGCTTAAGGCTTTAGTTTCCAATTTCGCCCGTTCAATCAAAGTACCCCTAAACAATTTTTTAGCAATTTCGTTTTCATACTCAACCTGGTTAACTTCATGAGTGTGAGGTGTTCTTATTTCTATGGATCCATCTGCTCGTTTTATTGCAGTAGCTGTACAGTACACATTTGGCATATGGCACTTTAAGTACCTAAAATAAAATATAAATTAATATAAATATAAATTTCAATAAATTAGACATGGTACGCCTAGGTAATTTATTTAAATTGATGTTTATATTTGACATAAAATGTCTTCTTACCATACACCTTCATCCGTACGTTTTGTACATTTGTAGTGGTATCCACGAGAGTCATCCATTTCAAATTAGGTATAATATTTAATTGAAACGTAAAAGTAAAATATTTGATACGATGAACATAATACACAAATCACAATTTAAAAAACATCGACTGTAGTACGGATAATATAACAACGACGCTAAGTCACTAATGGTAGTATGGTAGATCGACAACGAATGATCAGTGATGTTGACATATCGCGTCGAACTGGCGAAGGATAATATTATTATGTTGTGTGTTTATTTATGCATTATTGTTGGTCAAAATCGTAGGAAAAATCTAAAAATATCTCAAACCCAAATCTAATAACACCAATCAATTATCAAATAACAACAAATGTTATACCTATCTAATATTTATATTAAATAATATGTATATTGCCACAGTTCAGTTTTCAATCGTTTTGACGTCATGTCTAGGGGCCCGTATTACAATTGTCGATCTCCGGAAAAACAGCGGAATTCAGTCGGTAAAACCAGTGGGTTAGGTAATCGAAGTGTAATCGACTATTGTTATACGGGCCCTAATTGCGCCATAAATTATGAGAACTGTTAATTAAATTTATTATTTTACGAGATTCCTCTAAAAATCTAAATATGTACACTACAGTACATTTCCTATGAATAGCACGGACTATTTATTTTTCTTTATTATCTATTGTTATTTATTTTTAATGCTCGCTGTACAAAAGTTGTTCTATTTTAACACGTATAATAATACTAACATAATATTAATATTAATTATTATGTACATTGCATATTATTTCGATATTATTATTGTCCGATAAATTAAATTAAATTAAATCTAGAAGTTTTCAGAAAAATATTATTTATGAATTATAAGAAAATATAATACCTATGTATACAGGGTGATTTTTTTATCGAAGAACACTCATTATTTCAAAAAGTATTAATGTTTAAGAAAATATTTTTTTACATAGTTTCAAGTTGTTAAAAAACAATATTTTTATTAAAAAATTATATTTTTAAATATTTTTTATCCTTTTAATTTTTTAAGTTTTTTACTTTTTTGAATGACAACATCTAATTTTAATTTGATATTCAAAAACAGAATATTTTTCTGAGTATTTAGATACATAAAAATTGAATTTAGGGCAATTAGTTTATGAGTTATAAGTATTTAAAGTTTAGATGAGCGGAGTAGAGTGGTACGGGGTTACCCCGCGAAATGTTTGTCCTCTACTCCGCTCATCTAAACTTTAAATACTTATAACTCATAAACTAATTGCCCTAAATTCAATTTTTATGTATCGAAATACTCAGAAAAATATTCTGTTTTTGAATATCAAATTAAAATTAGATGTTGTCATTCAAAAAAGTAAAAAACTTAAAAAATTAAAAGGATAAAAAATATTTTAAAATATAATTTTTTAATAAAAATATTGTTTTTTAACAACTTGAAACTATGTAAAAAAATATTTTCTTAAACATTTATACTTTTTGAAATAATGAGTGTTCTTCGATAAAAAAAATCACCCTGTATAGGTTCTACAATGATATAGTATATACACCATGATGTATTTTAGCACGGTATATACAATATACAATATACACGTCTGCTGTCTGACTCGGTTATACAACCCATCTAAAATAACAAATAAACACGTTGTGACCGGTCGGAAATCGACAATCGTTGCGGCGACACGGAACGGAAGATTGACATTGAATGTGTTAAAATACTTATTATAATATAGTTATAATTTACATTATTTTTCTGGTAGGTAGTAGCATCAGTACTTACTGATAATTAAAAAATGATAAATCGAACTATTTACATTGCAGGGTTGTAAATTATTATAGCCATTTAACAGTAATTAATATTGTTATGTACTTAGGTATTAACTGTATTTTGTTTGTAGATCTTTTTCAAATTTTTCCTTTTTTACTATAGCGTAGGTATTTGTAATTCTGGATTATTTTTTTTTTGTACTAAGAAAGTAACATGATTACCCATCTATTTGAAAAGTAAAGAAATTCTATTACAATTTTGTTTGAAATAAACTTTATTAAATGTATCGAGGAAAGAGGAAACTAGTTAATTTACCCAACACCGCCTTTTTACAACTGTACAGTGTACATGTCATAAAATACTAATATCCAAGATTTATTCACCTTTATTCAAAAAATGAATGATGTCTCTTCAACTAATGTATAATATACAAGTTAAATGATCCAAGTGTTATAGGTTTTGTCAATTATTGTTTGCTTATTGAATATGAATATCTAAAGACATGTCCAGACGATAATATAACGGTTGTTTTTCAATTATAATGATTAAAAAATTATAAAAATAAGTACTGATGCCGCACGGTTTTGCCGAAAATGAGTCCACACACACACGGCAAAGCCTCGTGAATTATTCTTTTGATGTAGGCTGCCTGGCCCTGGCGCGTGCTAGGCCGATCGCAAATTTTGCCGCGTGGCATCCAATGCTCGGGAATAAATTTGTAACTACGTGGCAAAAGTTGCTCCGTCTGGACAGAGGCTACGCCTTAAGAGTTAAGAGTGATAGCTATTTAAA